ATATAGTGTTGTTTGCCTTCCCACACCTGTTCAGCTTGCATGTCTGTTTCCATTTAGAGCTTACAGATTGTTATTAGTATTACTGCAGCATTGTGTGTGTGATAGATTGACCTTTGTTACGTTTCACACTTGTGCTCCTCCCAGTGTCTTGGCTTTGGTCAAATTGTACCAAACTCCTCCTTATTGTTGCCTTTCCCTTTAGCCAAGTTTATATGTGTCTGTTCATTGGTCACTTTTTATTCCTTTCCCTCCTGTATTTAATAACCAAAGAATGTTTCTTTCTCTGTGTAACTCATTTATAGACCTTTTATATTAGTGTTTTCATACAGTATTTATCCTTTGTGATTGATTTATTTCCTTCAGCATAATGCCCTCCAGGATCATCCATGATATGAGATGATTCATGGCATCATTGTTTTTCTTTAATGTTGCGTATAATTCTATTGTTGGTCTTTTCTTTCTTTCCTGTATTGCTAATGACCTATTGTTTTCTTCAAATATGATGTCCTAGATATAATCCCACAATTCTCCTAGTCTCTGGTAATTAGTGTTGAATGTGGTCAAATCTATTCTTGAGATGATATCTAAATTCACATGGCATATACTTAGTTTCCTGTGGAATGGTTTTAATTCTCTTCAACTTCAATTTGAACTTGCATAAAATCAGTTGATGGTCCATTTTGCAGTCAGCCCTTGGCCTTGTTCTTACTGATATTATATTTCTCCATTGTCTTTTTTTTTTTTTTTTTACAGATGATGTCAGTTGGTTCTTGTGTATTCTATCTAGTATGGTCCACATGTCAACTTGCTGTTTATGTTCTTGAAAAAAGGTTGTTTGCCACGAACAAGTAGTTGGTCTTGCAAATGTCTGTTATGTGATTTCTGATCTTCAGCTGAGATGTAGTCAATTCATATGCCCCTTCTAACTATAGCCCCTAGAAGAGTCATAGTGGTGTAGTTGTTATGTGTTCGGCTGCTAGCTACAAGGTCAGCAGTTTAAAACCACCAGCTGGAGAAAACCGAGGCTTTCTACTCCCGTAAAGCTAGGGTCACTATGAGTCAGTATGGACTCAGTGCAGTGACTTTAAGGTTTTTTTTTTAAGTCACCTTAATAGAGGGTGTGAAGCAAGTCACCACCCTTGGTTTTCTTGAGAGTATGGTCTGCTGAAAGATAAAAACTAACCATAAAGCCATTCCTTTGTGTATCAGAGCCATCTCAGGCCTTTTTCACGAAGATGGTGCCAAAGGCGAAGAAGGAGGCTCCTGCTCCTCCCAAAACGGAAGCCAAAGCAAAGGCTTTAAAAGCCAAGAAGGCCGTGCTGAAAGGCGTCCACAGCCACACAAAAAAGAAGATCTGCACGTCACCCACCTTCCGGCAGCCCAAGACCCTGAGACTGAGAAGGCAGCCCAAATACTCCCGGAAGAGTGCCCCCAGGAGAAACAAGCTGGACCATTATGCCATCATTACATTCCCCAGACCACAGAGTCTGCCACGAAGAAGATTGACAATAACAACACACTGTGTTCACTGTGGATGTGAAAGCCAACAAACACCAGATCAAGCAGGCTGTGAAAAAGCTCGATGACATGGACGTAGCCAAGGTCAACACCTTGATCGGGCCTGACAGTGAGAAGAAGGCCTATGTTCGACTGGCTCCTGACTATGACGCGTTAGATGTTACCAACAAAATTGGAATCATCTAAAGTGAGCCCCGCTGGCTAATGCTAAATATAAACTTTTTCAAGATGAAAGAAAAAAAGAGCCATCTCAGAAACAGAAAAATCTCAGGACCGTTGGCAGAAAAACCACCAGTGGCGCAGGTTTGAGATCTCTGTCTGAAGTGGCGTGGAGGCTGAGACCGGAGCACCAGATGCTGTGACAAAGAGCCAATGAGACAGAGCAAAGGAGCCAGGCCAATACCAGAGGTAAAGGCCAGGAAACTGTGAGAACAGAGGGGTGCCACTGAGACAGTAAGACTGTGAGGCAGAGCAGCAGGCTGGATTCCCAAGGAAGGCAGAGGCCAAAGGCCATGTGGCTGAGAGGGTGAAGAATGGCAAGACTTGGCTACTGACTGAGGAAAGTGCTGTTGTGGACCAAGAGCTGTGTTCTTACTGTTTACTGATCCTAACTTGTGGTAATCTGTTAACTGCCCTAGTAACCCCCATAATTGTGGATTTTTGTCTGTGAGTTCCATGGGGTGATTGCAATGAATTATTGAACCCAGCAGAAAAGTAAAGTGCCATGGGAGAAAAGGTTGTTATTAGAATTGGGAAGGAGGGAACCGATTACAAGGAACTACATGTGACCTCCTCCCTGGGGGATGGACAACCGAAAAGTGGGTGAAGGGAGACGTTGGACAGGGCAAGATATGACAAAATAACAATTTATACATTATCAAGGGCTCATGAGGGAGCAGGGAGTGGGGAGGGAGGGGAAAAATGAGGACCTAATGCCCGGGGCTTAAGTGGAGAGGAAATGTTTTGAGAATGATGAGGGCAATGAATGTACAATGCGCTTTACACAATTGATGTGTGTATGGATTGTGATAAGAGTTGTATGAGGCCCTAATAAAATGATTTAAAAATAATTAATTAATAAAAAAAAAAGAATTGGGAAAAGAAAGATGGAGGGTGGAGGAATGCCTGACCTCTGCCCTGTGGTCATAGGGAAGCCAGAGGAGGTCAGGTGTTGCCCTCCTTCATGCCATGTTCACACACTTCCATCATCAAAGCCATAGTTTCCAATTATTGAGCCTTTCAAAAATTTTTCAAACACCAGTAATCATAAATGCATCTTGATTGCATGTTTGATCAATTTCAGACTGTAGAATTGGTACCAAAAAAAATCTTCGAATACTTCAACCTCAGCTTTAGTAGTTTGGAAAAAATTCAGATTTCTGTGTGAATTTGAATAATAGCACATGAACTGGTTTCCTTGTACTGTGTGGATATTATCCGATGGTTTACAGAGTCGTGCTTCAGCATCGATCTTGAAATGGTCTCTGATAGTGAATGCGCCAATGCTCCTGTTCAACTTGTCAGTTCTGAAATAGACAACCATATGATTTTTCAGCTCAAAATGGCCAATCCTGGCCTAGTTCAGCTCCCTAATGCCTAAGATATAATCTTCAAGTATTCCTTTCATTTTGATGACTTCTAATTTTCCTATATTGATATGTTGTACATTCCAGTTTCTGATTGCTCATGGACGTTTGCAGCCCTGCCTCCTCCGTTTGAGTCGCGGCACATACAAATGAAGGCACTTTCCTCCGTTCACGTGAGCGAGGACGGCTCTTGTTTGCGGAGCAACTCCTTCTCAGCCGTAGATTGAGTGCCTTCCAACGCTAACCTCAAGGTCAACCAAACCACCAGCCACTCCTTGGGAGAAAGACGGGGACTTTCTATCCCCATGCAGAGTTACGGTCTCCGACATTCACGGGGCCAGATCTACCCTGTCTTACAGGGATGAGTCGGCGCTGACTTGAAGGCAGGGAGTGCGGTCTGGGTTCTGCTCCAACCCGAGGGACTCATCTAGCACTACATGAGACACTGTTGTGCTCTTACCCAGTAGATATTTCACTGCCTTATTATGTGCATGTGTGTGGAAATAAATCGCTGGATTCTTCTTCCTAGTCCCTTTAGTCTAGAACGTCCTCTGAAACCTGTCCACCATGGGTGACCCTGCGAGTATTTGATAGCCCAGTGGCAGAGCTTCCAGCATCACAGCAACATGCAAGCCACCGCAGTGTGACAAGCTGGTCGACAAGTGGTGGCCATAAAGATCAGTCAACCGAGTAGTTCGACTCTGTCCCAGGAGGTCAGTAGTGTCAGATGGAACTTTGTGGCATATGATAACCACCACCACCCTGGGAGCAGTGAGAAAATAAGTATCTGTTGTTTAAAGCCACGTACTGGTGGTGGCTGTGTTATCGTAGCCCCAGGAAATCAAGACAGGGATAGTCTGTAAAGGACTGTCAGGATGCAATTTGGGTCTTTAAAAAAAATAGACAGGGCTACAATTGACAAGTAGTGATGGTATTGTATCTTTTGTCCTTGATTTCTTTCTTTTCCCCTAGACTGCTGTATTCACTCTGTCATGCATTCATCTGTTTGGTGGGTGGCAGAGAGAATCTAGTGGAAAATTTGATTAGGATCAAGTGTTAAACTCCCGGAGCAACTTGGTCTAGAGGTGTTGGCTGGCTGTTCTTATGCAGAGAAAAGACATTTAAATAAGGAAGTTGAAATTTAAATAGAGAAGCAGTCCTTGCAACTCAGCTCTCTGGCAAACGTTGTCCCTAAAGCAAAGCAGGAGTTTCCTTTTAAAATTGAATCATGATTTATAAGTAGCTCTATCTCGGTGGCAAGAACATTACTCTGCTGTCCTATCTGACATTCAACCAAACTTGCAGGTGTGTGGCTATCTTTGAAGTTACATACAAGCAGGAAAATTAAGAAAACTCCACTGACTGATTAGAAAGTTGAAGGAGTGTTTAGCATTCGGACTCCAGAGTGACATGAAAGTGGTTTGAGGGTCTTTTTGCGATCAAGGGACAACTGTTCAATAGATTGCTTTGTTGAGGTCTAGCTCAATTCTCTATGCGTGTGTCCAAGGTGCAAACTCCTGGAGAGGGGAACTCCTTTATAGCGTGAGGGATATGGATGAGAAAGTTCTTAAATAAAAATCATTATACTGCCGTAATAGTTATAAAATCAAATGAAATTCACTGTCATCAGGTCAACTCTGATTCATGCGACTCTATAGGACGGAGTGGAATTTCACCTTTGGGTTTCTGAGGCTGTAACTATTCATGGGCTCAGAAAGCCTCATTTTTCTCCCAACGAGAAGCTGGTGGGCTTGAACCTCCAACCTCATGTGATTAGCAACTCAATGGACAACCCACCACACCACCAAGGTGCCTAATGATTAAAGATCGGGTATCAGTTTTAAATTTTTGGAAGTGGAAATAAAAGGTTTTTTTCCCCCATAAAAGTGTATATTGGTGCTTGCTTCAGCAGCACATATACTAAAATTGAAACAATACAGAGAAGATTAGCATGGCCCATGCACAAGGATGACATGCAAATTCATGAAGTTTTCCATACTTTTAATTGTAGTGTTCCAGCCTACCCCGATATTCTGGCTACCAGGCCCCCGCTCCCCAAGGGAAGTATAGATGATGTCATCTTGCCTTAAAGCTATGTCCCCTATAGCCCACTTGCTATGGCAAGCTGTCCTGGTAATTTTCCTACCTAAATTTTTAGCCTTCAGATAACTATCACCCCCCCTCACCTGTTCCAAGATTTTATCATAAATTTTATTCCCAGATACTATGTATGTACCCACACCCTGTTCCAGGAAGTTACTGGAGACTAATGCTTCTTTAAGGGTCTAATCAGCTAGGCTAATAAGAGTGGGAAAACAGGACGCAGTTAGAGTCTTGTACTTTGCTGCTTGAAAAACAAGATCAGGTTTTTGTCTTTTTATACCCTGCCTAACTGCTATTCAGGGGCTTCAGGATGTTAAAAGATGCTAGTCCTCCCATAGCCACCAGCTTAATAAAGACTCCAAATTCAATTTCACAGTATTACTGTGGTCTTTAATCTCTAGCGATTCATAACATTTTGGAAGCTCCAGCAAGACAGCCACTGTGCCGTCCGGAACAGAGCCTCAGCCGGCCAGCTGACCCAGGTGGAAGAAGGCCTCAGGGGAGAGACCACCTGAGATGTTCCAGGGCCCTAGAGAACTTCACTGACCTGTTCTGTAGCTACCTGGGAGATGCTCACATAGTTATCTGGTAAATAGGTTAGTTTTAAAGTTTCTTTTCCCTAATGCTCTCATCATGGTGGTTTTGCTTCCTCTCTCTCTTTTTTTAATCATTTTATTAGGGGCTCATACAACTCTTATCACAATCCATACATACATCAATTGTGTACATTCATTGCCCTCATCATTCTCAAAACATTTGCTCTCCACCTAAGCCCCTGGCATCAGCTCCTCATTTTTTCCCTTCCCTCCCTGTTCCCCCCTCCCTCATGGACCCTTGATAATTTATAAATTATTATTTTGTCATATCTTGCCCTGTCCGATGTCTCCCTTCACCCACTTTTCTGTTGTCCATCCCCCCAGGAAGGAGGTCAAATGTAGATCCTTGTAATCGGTTTCCCCTTTCCAACCCACTCTCCCTCTACATTCCCAGTATCACCACTCATACCACTGGTCCTGAAGGAATCATCTGCCCTGGATTCCCCATGTTTCCAGTTCCTATCTGTACCAGTGTACATCCTCTGGTCTAGCCAGACTTGCAAGGTAGAGTTCGGATCATGATAGTGAGGGGTGGGGGAAGAAGCATTTAGGAACTAGAGGAAAGTTATATGTTTCATCATTGCTACATCACACCCTGACTGGCTTGTCTCCTCCCTGAGACCCTTCTGTAAAGGGATGTCCAGTGGCCTACAAATGGGCTTTGGGTCTCCACTCTGCACTCCCCTCTCATTCACTATGGTAAGATTTTTTGTTCTGATGATGCCTGATACCAGATTCCTTCGACACCGCGTGATCGCACAGGCTGGTATGCTTCTTCCATGTGGACTTTGCTGCTTCTGAGCTAGATGGCCGCTTGTTTACCTTCATTTGCTTCCTCTCTTATCTCCTCATTCCTCACCCACTTGTTTTGGTTCTGGCCCTCGGCCTGACAGTGACAGCCCCTACTGAGTGGATCCCTTTTCAAAAATCCTTGGTGGCATTTTTATGTTTTCTGGGTCACGCTCTTGATAGCCCTCCAGTGTCTATAGCTTGGTGAATCACTGTCCTCTGGATTGTTGCACATTTTAGCCAATACATTCAGTGTCTGTTACGAGATATCTCATGATTCTGCCCCACTTCATGGGATCCAGACTGCCTGTTTGATTAGGTAACCGGCATTTGTTTCCAAGGAGCCTTCTCCAACTTCAGCCAATTCGAGGTCTCCTTGTTCACTGTTGTCCTATTCTTCCTCTTTTAAGGAGAGTCAGCATATGGGGGACCCTGTTGTAAAGATAAAATCCCCCTTACAATGTATACTAGATCATTTTAAAACAGGATTTGCTAATGGGTTATAGGATTAAAATTTGTCCTGGAAAGCTCCAGACCCTTTGTGAGTGAAAGTGGCCCACTTGGGGGGTTGGTTGGCTTGACAAGGGTACCTATGACCCCCAGCAGTTTGAAATGTGCAGACAGGCAAGCCTGGGCACCCTGACCAATTCCCTTAGATTGATGTGAGGTAAGTGTCCTTCCAAATCCTCTCCCCAGGACTGAGGAAATGTGCCAGATGATGTTGGTGGCCCCTATTCTGTTGGCAAATTCCCCTTCACAACCCGTGTCCAAAGATGAAGGTTTTCTTCCAACCCCTCGTACAAACACTCAAGAAGCTACTCAGCGACCTTCTGAGGAATCCGACCTTCTGCCACCGTATGTTAGGTCCCTACCATTGGCTGACACCCCTCCCCCCAGCCACCCTATGTGTCACCTAGTTAAGTTTTCTCTCCTTTCTACACCCGCATTGAAGTTCCTCATGCCCCTCACCACCACCAAATCCTGCCCCTGCGGGAAGCACCCCCTGGAACCAACCTTTTTTTGGTTTACATCTCTTTTTCCACTAGCGACTTGTAAAATTGGAAAAACCAGCATTCACCTTTTTCAAATAAGCACAGGCACTTATTAGCATTTTTGAGTCAGTGTTCCAAACCCACCATCCTGCTTGGGATGATTGTCTGCAATCATGAATAATCCTTTCTACAGCAGAAGAGAGAGGCTGCATTGGACAGGAGGCCCCAAAAGGCTGTTATGAGCCCCATGAGTGGGACAGCAGAGGAGAATAGGGACTGACCTGAGGCCATGTTTCCCCAGACCCAACCTCACTGGGACCCAAATACTTCTGAAGACCTTTGGGCATTGGACATTTTTCACTGGTACTTATTGCTGGGGTTGTAGGGAGATGCCAAGTGACCCACTAATTTACCCAAAGTCAGTACAGTAAGTTAGGGACCTCATGAGTCCCCAGTAGCCTTTTTGGAAAGACCAGCATGCATACTGCTCATACACCTCTATAGAGTGGACCACGAAAGGACAAATACCGTGTGCCTGTTTGTACCTGTTGAGCGTCATGGAGCCCCTTCGGAACCTTAGCAATCCCTGTTCATACCAAAATGAAACCCTGCCCGGCCCTACATCATCCTCACGATTATTCCTATGCTTGAGAAGTGTGATGAGTTATTGAATATAAAATGGATGATCTGCTCTATAAACCCTCATCTAATTCATAAGAAAAAGTTGGGGGGAAAAGGAATGATAGAGCACTAGCATCAGAGGGGTCCAAATCCCTGTTGGGCATGGAGCCACCTTCCAGGTCAGCCTTGCCCACTCTTCTGTTTCAGTGGAGGAAGTATTAACAGTTACCATTGAGTTCATTTCAACTCATGGGGACATCGTGGGGACAGGGGGTGAGAGAAGTATGTGGCTGCGAGGTGTTGAGTTGGTTCCAACTCACCTGATCCCATGAAACATTACACAGTCATTGCTATGTTTCAACCGACTGTTGCGCACACCGGGCCAGGCCATATTGTTGAGGGACTCTCTCTTTCTTTTAGCTCCTCCTCTTGCTTTTTAAGGCCACTATTGGGAGTTTCTTTGACAGATCACAAGTTAATTCTAAGCAACATGGTTTTATTGTTCAGAGGAGGAGGCCAAGATGCAAGGAGTTTTTGAGGTCACGCTTTTACAATTGTGCAATGGAAATCTGAACGCGGGTCGCTTTGACGTCAAACCCTATCCAGTTTTCTATTTTATCACACTGTTTCTAATGGGAGGCTTGAAGTGAGAAGACAAGCCCACAGAAAAGCTGTGGTTAGCTAGGTGGAAGCAGGGTGCCACTGTGTCCAGCATTTGCCAAATACTTACTATTCTCCAGGGAAAATGCAAAAGGCCCTGTTGGTGTGGTGGGTTAAGACTGCTAACTGCATTTCAAACCCACCAGGCATGAGACCTGTCTGCTCCTCTAAAGATTTACAGCCTCAGAAACCCTAGGGAGCAGTTCTACCCCATCCCACAGGGTCTCCTTTGTGACCTCTATAGTTCGAGGCTTTACATTTAGGTCTTTGATCCATCTTGAGGTTGTTTTTGTATATGGCACAATAAATGGGTCCTGTGTCCTTCTTCCAGAAATGGATATCCAGTTTTGTTAAAGAGGTTATATTTTCCTCATTTCATATTTTATCCCTTTGTTGAAGGTGGGCAGGTTTATTTCTGGGTTCTCGATTCTGTCTAATTGGTCTATGAAGCTACTGTTGTAGCAGTATCAGGCTCTGTTGACTATCATGGCTGTGTAACAGGCTTTCAGACCGGGAAGTGTGAGGCCAGTTACTTTATTCTTTAGCAGCACTTTGCTTATCCAGAGTCTCCTTGCTTTTCACATAAGGTTGGTGATTAGTTTTTCCATTTATTTTATTTTTTTCAGCCAGACACACCCTTGTTTGTGCTTGGCAGTTTTTCCATTTATTTAAAGAATCTTGTTGGAATATGGATTGGGATTGCATTATATCTGTAAATTGTTTGGGACAATGTTGACATTTTCACAATGTGAAGTCTTTCTATTAATGAGCATGATATGTTCTCCCATCTATATACATCTCTTGATTACTTGTGGTGGTGTTTGGTCATTTCCTTTGCAGAAGCCATTTGTTTCTCTAGTTATATTCCTAAATATTTCATCCTTTGGGTGGTTATTATGAACAGTATTGTTTTCCTAATTTTCTTTTCAGAGCTCTCATGGTTAGTGTAAAGTTATCTGATTGATTTTTGTATGTTGATCTTATATCCTGCCACTTGCTGGACCATTCAATCAATCCCAACAATTTTCTTGCTGAGTCTTTGGGAGATATGTATGGGAGCAGACCATCTGCAAATAGAGAGTTTTATTTATTCCTTGCCAATTTGGATACTCTTAATTTTCCTTGCCCGATAGTTCTAAGACAGTGGTACTCAACCTGTGGGTCATGACTCCTTTGGGGGTCAAACAACTCTTTCACAGGGGTCGCCCTATTCATAACAGTAGCAAAATGACAGTTATGAAA